AAAATTCACACAAAATTCCGCGTAACGAGTGAAAAATTATTCCAGAAATCGACAACAAATCAACAACTCTGCACGCTCGATCGCTCGATCGGTAAAATAGAAATTTTCCCTTCATTCAAAAAAAAAAAAAAAGAAAGAAAGGAAATTCGACGCGACTACTACGAATCCAAAATTATATACCATGGAATGATTAACAAGATCAAACGATTACGATCGAAGCAGGAACGGGAGCCACGTCAATTTCCCGGGTGTCGGCCAATCGACTTTTGTCATCCGAGCACTAAATCAAACGCGCAAGCAGGTCCAGACGTCATCCAGGGGGTGAGCGCCGGAAACGAGCTGTCTCGCGCTACGTATCCGTGTATCAATACGTTCAGGGAATCACGCCGATTAATCGAGCGCCGATAATTTTCCAATTTCGAATCACCACGAATCCGCACCCTACCCTCTCCCTCCCTCATCCACCCACGAACGTTTTCAACCATAGAGGGAAAGGGATGGGTTAACCTCTCTTCTTCTTCTTCTTCTTCTTCTCTTTCTTCTTCTTCTTGGAAGAAGAAAATCACCGACACTCCAATCGTGGATATATATAGATCGATATTTTTTCCCTCTCTTTCTCTTCCCTTTTCGCCTTATCCCCTCCCCTCCCCTCCCCCTTATCATCGATCGAATCCTACGAAAATACGCGATCGAACCGTCTTTCGATTCACTTAACGGACGGTATTAACTCACGTAACGTATTATACGTAGGGATGTAAATATACAGTAAAGTATCTTTACGAGCATTCTCTACAACTTCGCCCTCTTATCCGGCCGATAAAATTTACTGCGTCTGGCAGCGCTTTCTCCCTCTTCTCCTCCGTGGCACGCGTGTGTGCGGAATGTACGCGCGAGTGTACGTGCTAAGAGGGCACGTGGCGAGCTTTTGCATATCTGATTTCCTCGTTTTTCTTTTTTTTTCTTTTTTTAGATCATGGACGCGATTTTTCGCTTTTTTCCTCCCCTCTTCTTCGACGAGAAGAGATGTCGCGATGGCGTAATTTTTGTTTATTAGATTTTCGCGCGCGTCGTTTCGTGTCGATTTGAAAATAAGAAGGGTTAATAAAGGGATCGATGAGGTATTTAAAGTTTCTTTCGTAAAGTGATGAATGTTTCGGGAAACGTTGGCGAAATGGATAAATGGTAAAATTTATATTTTGTATATACGAAAGGTATTACAGTTTTTGATAGATCTTTTTACAATTTTAGGTAATAAGAATATCCTTTCCCTGTTCTAATGTAGGGGAGAAAATGGTATTTGCTCTCCGGTTCTCGTTGTAATGTTTGCATAGAATCGATTTCTGGATTCGAAATGGGTGACTAAAGTGTAAATTTATAACGAACAGTACGAAGTTTCGAAATCCGAATGGCACATTCGCACGGCTCGCGTTTCATATCGATATCGGTGCAGCTGAATGATTTCGTGCAGTACACATAGTCAATTATTCCTGTAACGATAGATTTTCGGTAAATTTCAAATTTCGAAATCTAATGTTCGTGTTTAAAGTTGATATTGTCCGATATTCTTTCCCCGTTACAGCAATATTAAAATAACGAAATTACATACTTTTATTACAGATTCGATAACGAATATTAACGAAATAAATTTCTTTTTTTAACATTTTTTACGAATCCTTGTATCATAACTACCGTACCTTTCACTCAATTATGCTTCAATTATTTTTACATTGACAATTTCCTTCCCAAACTTTTCAAATTTATCATAAAAATCCAATCGTAATTTTCGTAAATTTCTCCACGAATAAATAAATAAATAATCTCCAATATCAAAATATAAATATACGAAAACAAATAATTGAAATTATAACTTTTCACTGAACCAAAAATTTTTTTATGCAAATATCAAACACGCGCGTTCCAAAAAAATTTTTCTTCCACGATCTATCTTACCCTCCTCTTTCAATCTTTAATCGATGAAAATAAAAATTATTAATCGAGCGAAATTTCGCGCTAGAAAGATCACCCCTCATCATTAAAACGATTCACGATCAAGGCACCTGCCGCCGTATCCAAACTTGTCCCATCGACGAG